GTGTGTGTGTGTGTGCAGCAGGTGGTGCATGTTGAGGCCTCCATGGTGCACAGGTGGATGGAGGAGGGTTTCACCGTGGAGCTGCGGACTGGAGGCCGCTGGGTGTGACCCTGGACAGAGCCTGCAGAGGACAGGAGAACAGCATTAACTGACGGTAACGGGCTGAGCAAAGTTCAGACCCAAGATTGACGGCGAGGCGAGCTCAAACTCGCAACTGCTTGCAATCCTTCAGTCTGCAGCATTCTGAAAGCCTGCCAGGACCGTGTATCGTCTCCATAGCAACAACTCTCTGTAGTTCAGCTCTAACGGTTGGATGTTTAGGGTTTTTTTTTGTATCTGGATATAATTTGTAGTGTCCTAAAATCTGAAGTGAGAATAGTGATGAATAGTGAGTTACTTGCTACAGTTGCATTTTATTGATGAAGTGATGAAAACACACAACGAGAGGGCATGGCTCAAACAAACCGATAGTGATCCTCTCTTTTCCTCCGTCCAAATCTTTGCCATCTCAACCAGCTAACGGGTTGTAACTGACTGGATCAGCTGACTGATCGAAACAGGCAACGTGTTTTAAATTCTAAAAATCGGCCACTGGAGATTTGACACTTCCAAACATATGTCAATTTAACGTCGTTGAATGTTCAAAAGACGTCCACTGAGGAGCCAGAATGTAGGTTGTCTTTAACATTAACAACAACAAACAGGCACAGTCCCTTTCTTTCAGTATCAACCAGAGGTGTGGACTCCAGTCACATGACTTTGACTCGAGACTTTAACGTATAATACGTAATTTCTGCTGCTAGGTGCGTCTCACATCAAACTAACAAAAGACGTAGGTTAATGACGTCAGGAAGCAGCGTTGGACCACAGGACTTGCTGTCTTCATTGTTAAAACAACATGGTGAACAATCTATCTGATGTGACTCAGCCAGGAAACACGTTCACAGATGAGGGGAGATGAGATATTTTATATTTTATGAGTTTTATTCGTGTTATGTTTAGTCACGTCCTCTGACACTCCGTGTTTACCTAGAAGCCACAGCAACCAGAGGCAATGGAAACACACCGTTACTATTGCACGTTTTAAGTACAGAGTGTATGGAAAAATTGCACTGTACACACCCATGAGGTCACGTCATGTAACCTCAGGGGCAAAGGGGCGGTTCTGAGTGGGTTTTTTTCCACGTGAAGGGCGTGTTCGATCCTGTCTCTCTGTACCCTCAAACCGTCCCAAAAAAAATGCCTTCAAATCTTAAAAATGAAAATCAAGACACAGATTAACATCTCCCGTTGTATTTCTGCATTGCTTCATACTGTGGGAGTTAAAACACTGTTTCTATTTTGTAATTTGGGTGAATTGACCCTTTAAAATGAAATCAATTCCCTACTTTAAATAGACAAGCAGAGCCCTCAATAACAATTTCACTAACTGGTAGAGTATGTATAGACAAGAAATTGTCAGAGCCATGTATATTATTATATTCAATTATTACCATAGTTAATTTAGCATTTAGTCAGAAAATAAAGTGCAAAACTAAATTCTAGGTCTTCTTTGTAAAACTGTGAGGTCTGATGTTTGGTTATTATAATGCAGAGAGAAATGTAATATTGTCTTATTAGGACTTTAATCACGTCCTATAATAAACAGACAAAGACAACAAATACTACTTTTCTTCAAAAGGAATAAAGAAGGCCTTGGATTGGACACCTCAGCACAGAGAAATTTAACCTGTCTATTTGAACTTGTTTCATAACTATGAATCGCCTAAAGAAAGCCCGTCAGGCTGAACAAGTTTAGTTACTACAGCTGTTGGTTGTAGTCGAAGGAAGTAAACATCCTTTTTTAGACTTTATCTGGCTGTTACACTCTTTGGCCTCCTGGGGGAGCAGTGGCTCTACAAGAAAGGAGGAGAGAATAAACAACCTAAACAGCAGAGGCTCTTAAACTACGTCCAAAAGAAGACAAACGCCTATCGCAACTGTTGTCATCAGTCTGTCACAATATGCAAAATGCAAAAAAAAGGGGAACAAACTGACATTTAGGGCAAGTAAAAAAAAAAAAAAAAGGGAAGTTCTTTGTCTGTTAGCACTCCCTGAAACGCATCTGTAAATGCTGATACACACATACTGCGTGTTCTCTTGTGATAAATGCTTTCCTGTTCCGTCAATATTTGTTAGGCAACTGAGCACAGCTGGTTTATTTCAGAAGATTTAGTCAGTCAAAGCCCTGCCTCTGCTTCTTTTTAATTCCCCTCACCCACTGAACTTTGCCCTTTCATATCGTCCCCTGCTCTGCCTGAGACATGCAGTC